CAGAGCTCCCCTCACCTTTACATGCTATTTTCTCTGACATGTAGTATTCCCACTACTGAAACTTTAACGGAGTGAATTTGAACTCAAAAGACTTATGAGGAATTGTTTAATTTTATACGGAAGTTTAATTCCATTACAGGGGTATTATCCAGGAAGGAATTGGTCTAAGGTCTCCTAACACTGAAGAAAAATGTAAAAAAGTAGCAGTTTGGTGTCTGTTCTGTTTTCAGACGTGCCAGGGGCAAACTATTTCACCTTTGCGGGATCATATCGTGGTCTGTGTCTTTGGAAACGCTAACTCAACCCTGATTGGGCTCCGGAACTTTGTCATGCCTTTACGAGCCAGTAACTTCACTTATCAGGAGCTGAAAGACATCGTCTTTGTCGGGTCTCTGAAATATTTGAAAAGAGAGTGGAAATTTATCCAGAATTTCCCAAAACTGCTGTTGTTCCCGGTAAGAATTTCTTTGTTCAGTCTCTCAAAGGGTATGTCTACACTGTAGAGTTTTTCCGAAAAAATGTCACTTATGTCCACACTGCAATTGTGTTCTTTCGGAAAAAAAAAATCAAAAGAACAGAACGGTTTTTCCAACATTAGTAAATCTCTTTCTACAAGGAAGAAGCCTTTTTCCAAAAGAACTCTTTCAGAAAAAGGCATGTGTGGACGAGGAAGAGGGAGTTCTTTCGCAAGAAGAGGAAAGAGAAAAAAGCACAGGTGCTCTGGAGGCCACTCTGTCCATAGTAATCACAGCTTAAATGCAAGATTGTGTCCATTCAGTGTGGACGCTATCTTTTGAAAAGCAGATCGCTTTTTTAATGCACTTTTGCTGAATAGACGCTCTTTTTTGGAAGAAGTTTTTTCGGAAGATCTCTTTGGCTATGTCTAGACTGCAAGTCTCTTTCGAAAGAGGCTTTTTCGAAAGATACTTTTGAAAAAGCCTCTTTCGAAAAAGAGCGTCTAGACTGCAAGCGGAACTTTCGAAAAAGCAAGCCGCTTATTCGAAAGGCAGTCTGGATGCTCTCTTTTGAAAAACCCCTGTTTGCATTCAAGAACGCCTTTTTTCGAAAGAGCACTTTCGAAAAAAGGCGTTCTTCCTCGTAAAATGAGGTTTACCACTGTCGAAAGAAAAGCCGCGTTCTTTCGATTTAATTTCGAAAGAACGCGGCTGCAGTCTAGATGCAGGTGAAGTTTTTTCGGAAAAAGGCTACTTTTTCGGAAAAAACCCCTGAGTCTGGACACAGCCTTCCAGAAAAGCTTCTTCCAAAAGAAGCCTGAAGTCTAAACATAGCCTCGTTTTCATCTTATCTGTCCATGTTTTAGATAGTTTTAAAAATCAAGATGTTTTTAGTGCCCATGTACAACCCTCCAAATATGATGCTTTTCCCTTATGATGAGAATTTGCTTCTTTTGTCGTCTGCTGGGTTTGGCAATTCTGTCTTCTCATCAGGGGATGGAAAATCGGTTGAGATTCAACAGGGACTTAACGGAGCTTCTGCCTCAAGCTTAAACCTGAACTTTCTTGGCAAATTTTCCCTTCTTCAAAGTTTGTTTTCTTTTATGGGTGCCTCTGTACAGTCTGGTTTCCTGCAGAAGCCCTGGGAACCAACTCCCCACAAGAAGTCGGAAAGTATCCAAAATTTCACAAGAGAAGCCCAAAGCTTTTGTGGTTTCTACGTCTGGATCTTTGCTGAGGAGAGGAGCGCTGGAGACGTTTCTGAAATGGTCTTCCTTTAACTGAACCAAACCTATGGCCCTTTAGCGTTCACCCTTCTCTGGCTCTCACACTCAAACTCTCTGTCGTTTTTCACCAGGGCAGCGCACTCTCTAGTGCAGACCTGACCGCGGTGAATATAAGGGATTGCACCATGTGTACCATCCTGTCTTCTGACCTAAGGACTTCCACTAATCCAACTCTGATGGACACCGAAAGCATTTTAGCGACTCTTAACATCCAGTCCATGCAGTTTACTAGCGGTTCGGCTTCTGGAGGTAAGAGCTTCACAGGGATGCTCGTGAGCACCTTGGTGTGCAGAAGCAGGGGATATACAATGCTCTCCCCTCTCTCGAGAAGTGGCATTAGCAGAGGAATCCTGGAGTTTAGTTCTGCGCACACCTTGGCAGAGGACAAATTGAATCTGATCTTTCATGGAGAGTGGACAACACCATCCAGGAGGGTTGTATCCGATTTGGTCATCAATTTTGAGGTTTTCAAGGTCCCACCAGCAGGCCCAAAGACAGGGGTGGTGCAAAGAGAGCAAGTGACCCAAAGGCCGGCGATTCAAAAGGGCCCCAGGCTCCTGATCGCTGGTGCCACTACTGCAGCCGCGGTGGCAGCCGGAGCCCAGCACGGCATCCTCCGGGTGGCTCTGAGGTCTGGTTGGGGGGTGGGAATGGCATGGTGCACTTCAGGCAGCACCGTGGTCTGGTTGCCTCTAGCCTGGCCCCTTTTGGAAGCATGAAGCCATGCCCTGTGCCTTGTCCAAGGGCTGGTAGGTATGTAGCATCCCTGCCCACCAGTAGGCCAACTACACTCAACCAGGGGCGGCCCGTGAGCCTAGGCAGACTAGGCGGTTGCCTAGGGCACCGCCGGCCCGGGGCGCCCAATGATGACGTCACAGGGTGCCCGGGTGCCCGATGATTACGTCACAGCCATTGACGGCCATGCAGACGGGGACGCCGATCGCGCCTTCCGCCTGGAGCGCCAGCTGCCACAGCCGGCTTCGGGCTGCTCCTGAACGAGTCCAACCCCCTGCCCAATGCAGGACCAACCCCAACTCAATCATCCCAGCCAGGGCTTTGTCAAGCTGGGACTTCAAAACCTCAGGGATGGAGATTCTGCCCCCTTCCTAGAGAACCCATCCCAGCGCTTCCCCACTCTCTGAGGGAAATCGTTTGTCCTAAAATCCAACCTGGGCCTCCCCCACTGCAACTTGAGACCTTTGCTCCTCAATCTGCCATTTGCCACCACTGAGACCAGCCTCTCTGGAACCTCACTTCAGGAAGTTGAAGGCTGCTCTCAACCCCCCCTCACTCTTCTCTTCCGCAGACTAAACAAACCCAAATCCCTCTGCCTTTCCTCATACATCATGCACTCCAGGGCCCTCGTCATTTTTGTTGCCCTCCGCTGGACTTTCTCCAGCGATGGACTGCACGTGGAAACTCTTGCTACAATCCCTGCCCTGCTTGTCCAACTGGAAAAAGTTTTTAAAGACAAGGCTGCCTCGGCTCTCTGTCTGCTTCAGTACTGGTGTCAGGTTGGTAGAAATCAGGGGCTACAAGGGGGCAGCTCCCACCATCTTGTAGCTTTGAGATGAGGGGCAGCAAGTAGGAGTAACCCCTTGGCAAGGGGCCGGTAGAGCCAGGAAGCCGGTTACTCTCACCAATGAGAAGAAACAGTGAGAAGCGTGTTTTGGGAGATATACCCGCTACCACTGCCAGGAACAACCGTAGGGGCCTGGGTGTTCCTCAGGCCATCTTCGGTTGCTAGGAAACCTCTGGTCTAAAATAACTGGGGGGAAAAATTGAAATACAGAGAAAGCTTAAGTAATGAGGTGAGACCAGGAATTGGGGGGGGAGACTTTTTTGCTTGATAAGCAGGTGTTTCATTGGATAGAAAACTAATGGGTCGATGAGACCTGTTCTCCACGTTCTCAGAGAACCACCCAGGGTGCCCGAGCAAAACACGACTGAGTCACATCGAAAAATGTTATGAGGAATCTGTGTCTGTCTGTCTCTCTCCACCACCCCCTGGACACGGCCCGCTCACAGCTCTGATACTTGGCCAATCCCTCCCAAAGATAAATACCCCCGTAACTCTTGCCAGTTCACAGCAATACTTTGGGTTACCACCCTCTGAGGATGGGTAACGGAGGGGAAAGGGGAGGGATCCATGTCTCCTGTTTCGAGTGGAGCTAATGGCCAGGACTAGAGGGCACACAGATGTGTGTGTTTCCCCACAGCGGGTGGGGCAGGTGAACCCTGCTGTTTTCAGCTAACCAGCGGTGGTGACACAGAACTGCCAGGGAAACAACACGACTCCAGTCCAGCCGAATATTTATTGCATCTCTCTTCCTCCCTTCATTTGGCAAAGCAGCCAAGATTTGTCCTCCTCTGGGGAAAGGAGAAGTATTAATTAACGGAGAATGGGTCGAGAAATATATGGCTCTCCTAAGTGTTTTCCCCGCACTTTATTGTCATTCACCAGGCTTTTAAAACAATGGCTGGGCTGGAGAAAAAATTAGAGTAAGGCAGCGACACATTTTTAAACAATACCTTGAAAAAACAACATCAATATACGAGTAGCCCAGCAGAATTACAAGACCCTCCTTTCTCACACCAGGTCTCCTTCTAGCAATTCTGTGGGGAGAACCACAGATGACAAGATGATTTGTTTCATGGAAGCAGAGTATGTAGAATACAATGCCTCTGGTTTCCTCATTCATTGAAATGACCCAGAGGGACGGAGAAAAAAAATCGTATGTCATGGGCAATGGAAAAGCCCAGTCAGCCCCACTGTAGGAGATGCAGGGACACTGACCAGACGATGAGGAATCAGAGGGTATGTCTACACTACCACCCTAGTTCGAACTAGGGTGGTAGTGTAGACATACCCAGATTGCTTCGCTGGAGAAGGAAAAATGGCAAAAAAAAAAAAGACTAGTAGTTAGAGCATCAGAGTGAGAGCCAGGCATGTCTACACTGCAGGGCAAAAGTCAAATTAAGCTACACCACTGCAGCTACGTCAATCGCGTAGCTGTAGTCAAAATCGCTTAATTCGGCTTTTGGTGCGGTCTACACAGCAGGAAGTCAAAGGAAGAGCCCTCTTCCTTTGACTTCCCTTACTCCTCGTACAAGGAGGGTTACAGGAGTCAGAGTAAGAAGTCCTCCAGCTCGACATTATTATGAAATAATGGCTTTCTGTGTAGACGCGTGCTGTGTTATTTTGGAATAAAGTCGATTATTTCAAAATAACGTTGCTGTGTAGACATGCACCTAGACTCTGTTTCAATGAAGGAGTCTAGTGTACTGGTTGGAGATGGGATGACTGATTAAAAATCAAGGGTTCTCTTTCTGACTCATGAACAGAGTGTTGCCTAGTAGTTAGAGCAAGGAACTGCGAGTCAGGGCTTCTGAATTCAGGAAGAAGCGGTGTCTACAATGTAGAGCAAGAATCTTGGCACTAGGTCTGTTCTTATCCTTACCACTGACCTGCTGTGTGCCCTTGGGCCACAACCTAGCCAATCTGCAGCCCAGTTTTATACCTTTGGGCTGTGTCTAGACTGGCAAGTTTTTCCGAAAAATCATCTGCTTTTCTGGAAAAACTTGCCAGCTGCCTACACTGGCCACTTGAATTTCCGCAAAAGCACTGATGATCTCATGTAAGATTGTCAGTGCTTTTGCGGAAATACTATGCTGCTCCCGTTCGGGCAAAAGTCTTTTTCCGAAAGACTTTTGCGCAAAAGGGCCAGTGTAGACAGCAGAGATTTCTTTTCCACAAAAAAGCCCCGATCGCGAAAATGGCGATCGTGGCTTTTTTGTGGAAAAGCACATCTAGATTGGCCATGGATGCTTTTCCGCAAAAAGTGCTTTTGCGGAAAAGCATCCTGCCAATCTAGATGCGCTTTTCCAAAAATGCTTTTAACGGAAAAACTTTTCCGTTAAAAGCATTTCCGGGGAGATCATGCCAGTGTAGATGTAGCCTTGTAGTAATAGGCACAGGAGTGTTGTGAAGCTGAATTAATTAAAGTTTGCAGCGTGCTTTGAGATCTTCAGCCCGAGGGGCAAAGTGGAAATAGAAATTAGTCTTGTTTCTATTACTCCCGACTGTGATCAGGATTGGTTTGTTTGTTTTCTAAAAGAATGATTTGAATAAAAGGAAAGAGCTTCTGTCCCCCGCCACTCTAACTGCTTGGACATCTTCTGGCGAAAGCCAGCGTTCCTCCATACAGTCCCTCTTGTTGCATTCTAGGTTTGTCACACAGGTATTTATAAGGTGCCTCTGAACTCACTTTTTAGTGAGTGCTGGATCCCTACTCCAATCCCAGTCTCATAAGTCCTGGGCTACTCCATTAAGGCCATTTCTCAGATTTACACTGTTTTCTGGGGACAGAAAAGTCGTCTTCACTTACAGGACATGCTCATCAGTAAATAAAGATAAATTTGCGAATAAGGCTACAACACCAGCATTTCCTCTTCCCCGAGCCAGCCAGTAAATCTGTTTAGCAAGTCACCTTCTGAGTACAAATCAGCTCTTTCCTCTTTCTAGGTTCATTCATGTTAAAATAACCAGCCCCCTTTCTTTGCAGCTGTCATTATTTATAATTACGGGCCCAGAGCCTGGAAGTCTAGGTCCACGTGTAGGAAGCCCCTGCCGATCCAACCAAAGCTTGAACCCATATTTTACATGCCTCTGGGGCTTTTCATAGGAAGATCTCAAAACCATCTTACAAACATGCAGCTCTTGGGAAGAAGTAAATTATCATTACACCCTTTTTGCACATGGATAAATCAAGTCCCAGCAAGTGCATGTGGTGAGCCAGGAGGTTTTGAACAAAAGTGGTGAGAAGTTGGAGTAGAATCCAGGTGTTTCAGCTCCTATTTCAACAACCACTTGATTCACTTTTTCCTCTGCTGCCTATCAATGTAATTGGGCCCGATTCTTGTGTTATGTAAGTGAAGGACTATATAACATTTCCTTATTCTATTTTCCCATGCCATTCATGATTTTCTAGATTTCTAACATCCCCCCACCCTCTAGTGAAGCTGAAAAGTCCCCATCTTGTTAATCTCTCTTAGAAGTGTCTTTTTTTAGATGGGGTGACCAGATCTGCGTGCAGTATTCAAGAGGTGGGCATAGCATGACTCTCTATAGAGGCAATATGATATTTTCTGTCTTATTATCTATTCATTTCCTAATAATTCCCAATATTCTGTTCACTTTTTAGTTTTTAGATGGCTACTGCACACTGAGCGGGTGTTTTCAGGAAACTAGCCACAATGATTCCAAGATCTCTTCCTTGAGTGGGAACAGCTATTTTAGACCCCAGCATTGTTGTATGAATAGCTGGGATTATATTTTGCCATGGGCATGACTTTGCATTTCTCAACACTGAATTGCAGCTGCCCTTGTGTTGCCCAGTCACCCAGTGTTGTGAGATCCCTTTGCCACGATTTGCAGTCAGCTTTGGCTTTCTCCATGTTGAGTAATTGTGGTGTCTGCACATTTTGCCATCTCACTGTCTCGCCCTTTTTCAAGACCATTGATCAGTTTCACAGTCCTGGTCCAAATGCAGATCTCAACAGCACATCAATCATTCCCACTCCTCCCCCCCCCCCTTATCTTTTAAGGGGAGCACCCAGCAATGTTTTCATGATGATTTTAATCACCCGCCTCCTTCTTTTTTACAACAAACTCCCAGCCCCAAAGGTAAACCTGGCAGCAGCTCAAACTCTACTGCAATTAACAGCTGCCTCTGGAGCCAGGGCCTGTAGCTTTAAGCAGACCTCAAGTATGAAATCCAGGAGTTGAAACTTTAGGGGGGTCTACTGCCCCCCATAGCACCTTTGTTTTGTGGGCTGCATTGTCAGGCACTTTTTCCCCCCTGTGCATTGTGTGGACTTTATGGAGCCCAGTAACCTGGCATTATGGCTCATGGTGCTGTTCCTGCGATTCTCTAGGCACTTAAGAGTTAGGTGCTGCCATGGAGCCTTCTCAGCTGCTTTTGAAATTCCCAGGAGGTGCCAATTTTCAGGCTTAGATCCCTAAATACCTTTGAACACCTGGCCCCAAGGGCAGATTACAACTGATCCTTCCTGCTTCTATGACTGCTCCAGCAGGGGCTCTGTGTGTGGTAGGACAGGAGGCTAAAAGTCTCCTGCAATACAGGGAGCAGCTCTGCTGCTGAGCTGAGCCCAGGTGGCACTAATGGAGGGGAAGGCCTCGGGATGAGACAGCTGAGCCTGCTGAGGTCAGCTGATGACTCAGCTATAAATAAGGCCGGGAGGGGCTCTGCTCTGTGTCTCTATTTTGAGAAGGGGGGAGGGATAAAAGCAAGGGAGCAGACTTGAGCCAAGCCAAAGCAGAGGAGAAAGAGAGCACAGAGCCAGAGACTGCCCAATACACCCAGCTCAGCAGGGGTGAGGCTAGCAAAGCTATTTATGCCAGGGCTCTGTCTCAAAAGGTCCCTGCTCTCAGGCACTCAGGCACATGCAAATAGATTTTGTGGGAACCAAGCTTGTGCGTAGAGTGAAAGAGGCACCTGGCCTTGAATAGGGAAACTTGCACCAGTGTATACAATTGCTCTGCTGCAAACCCCTAATAGAGCCTCCCTCTTTTCTTTCATAAGGCTTTGGGGGAAGGAGTGGGTGCACTGAGAGTCAACTCTTTGCATAGTTGGCGACTTGAATGGGTGGAGGAGGTGCCCAGAGCACAGGATAGACATCCATCCATCCTTATATTTTTGGAAACCAGAGATAAAAAAAAAGCAAGGCAGACCCGATTCCCTGTAGAAGCCCATCACGGCTTGTGCTGTTGCAAGCCACCCTAGTACCTCATTGGCAGTGAATTGCACCAGACCGCAGCAGCTCCTTTTGCACCAGTGCAGCACAGCTGCACGGGGGGTTTACACTGGTGCAGCCTTAAGATCATCACAAGACAAAAAAAACAAACAAAAACCTCCCAGTGGAGACCGAGCCCGACTGGTCCCAGAATTGGGACTGGGGAGCAAACTTGTAAACTAACTCAGGAGCCAGAACTGAAGCAAGGGAAGGGGAACTGATAAATAGTCCAAAGAGTCCTTCTGAACTAAGTGAGATTGCAGCACAAAACATGACCACTGGGTCCCTGCTTTAGGGTCTGTGGGGTTCATACCAGAGATCCAGTGACTGATGGAGACCTGCTCTTGATAGCACCCAGACTGATCCTAGGAATCAGGAGCAGAAAGCATTGGCTGACAGTCACTTGGTCTGGGAAATAAGAGAGAGGATGGACTAGGAAGGTCTTTAACATCCTAATAAGCTGAGCAGCTAGCAAATCCAGATGGGACAGATGTAAATGCCTGGTTATGAAACAGCTGACCTGGTTTAAAAACAGAATTAAGACCTGGACTTTGCTGTGCAATTTGTATCAGTTGCTGATGGACCTTTCAATTACTTGGCTTGCCATCAAGTCACCTGCCTAATCCTGATTCTCCATCACTTTAAACTTTGCACCTTGTAAATAAAATCTCCTCCCGCCCCATTCTATGTCCCCAACCTTGCAAAAGTTGGATGTGGGTCATGACTTAATGCAGAAGTCCTCACTTCTTTGAAAAGTGAAGTTAACATTGCAGCTACCTGGTCTGAGCTTGAGGATTTGTAACTACGCTTCAACCAGTGTTTCTTGTGGGTTTGGCTTTCATCATGAACATGTAGCAGAGCTCCATCCGAGCCTAGCCCAACTCTCCCACACATTACCTGTCCCAAGGAGTATGCAACAGGAAAATTCTTAGTGGAGCAAGACCCTCCCATGGAAGTAAATTGTATTAATACCTGCAACTTATTAGGGTCAGCTGAAACGCCAAGGACTTCTAGTCTTTCCCACAGAAAATGTTGGGTTTTCCAGTAATGCTGTAATTATCACTCTGTCATGTCACAACGAGAACAGGTTGGCAAACCTAGGTACTGAACTAAATAATCTGTGGCATAATCTAAATATATAACAGTAATTAAGTCTGACAACTTAATACGCTATTGAAATTCAAATGTACAGTAGTAATCTACAATTAAGTAATCTTTTGTAATAGCACCCTGCCAGTGTGTAAAATTTCAGGTACAGAGCAGTGTACCGTTTGGTAGCAAAAATATTGACATAAGGAAAATGTATCCAGGCAATGATCTGACATACATTCAAATCAGCTGCTACAGTACGGGGAAAGGTGGAATAAAGGAAATAATTCATTTTCAGGCATTTAGTTGATGTCACCAGCAGATGTTCAGAAATGCCAATGCACGCCCAGGAGGTGTTTTCGATGCTGCATGAAGAGTGCTTCTGTGCTCCACATTTCAAATGTCTTTTGGCAGTTTTGTCACCTGAATTTAGGAATTGTCACACTAGATTAGACCTGTGGCCTAGCTACCACCATATCAGTGTTGAGTCAGAGGGGAGGTTTGATGCATTTTACTTCCAGACCCAGAGAATACGTCTGTTCTCCCTGTTTTTCAGCCACTTTATATAGGGTTTGTTAGACTATCTAATACACACTCTGATTGAGACAAGATCCTGCTTTGTACGGAGTCCCTAGCATAACATGGATTCTGCCATCTTTCCTGTCAATAATGCCTTACTCAGTGAATAGTCACCTACTCAGATATTACAGTGACGGGCACTCAAATAAGCACTTAGAGGTTGATTGATAGAACATAAGTAAGGGAGATGGACTCAGACCTTATCAAAACAAGAGATGGGGAAAGCAGACAATCTGGTGCAGGCTCTGAAAGCTGTCTTTAAATAAAATGGGTTTGGTTTTCTTCTCATTTCCAGTGATGTAAGTCAGAGAGAACTCCATGAAGGCTCCCATGTGGACGCTACACAGAAGATCAATACTGCAGCGGTCAATCTTCCAGGGTTCGATTTAGGGAGTCTAGTGAAGACCCGCTAAATCAAACTCAGAGGGCACCCCCGTCAGTGCTGGTACTCCTGCAAGCCAATGGCTGTATGTGCTCCCCTCAGCCTCCCGGTGTATGGATGGTGTAAAAACATGATTTCAGATACGTCGACTCCAGCTGCGTAATTAACGTCGCTGGAGTTGCATCTTTTAAGTCGTCTTTCCCCTTTAGTGTGGACCTGGCCCCAGAGAGGGTAAAGTCAGAGGAGAATCAGGAGCAATGATTTCCAGAAGGCCTTAGAAGATCTCTCTTAAATCACCGACTTGAATCTTGAGTTGCAAGACACAGGCCTTTTTGCTTTCCCCTTCACTTTTGCGGTGCATATGCAATCCATTTATTTACAGCCTTCCTTAAGTGGGAAAAAAAAAAACCCTTGGAGTGCAAATTGGCTTACTAGGGGTTTTGTACCTAACAACACTATTACCAGCCCTGCTGCTCCGCAGAGGGTAATTATATTTTAGTTATGATGTCAATAAGCAGCTCCCAGGAGAGCTGTTCTTTTTTAATCCTTTGAAACTCTGAGTGAATAAAATGCACCTTGGAAAACCAAAGCCAGGCAAGAAACTTTATATGTGCAGGAAGTGCTTTGGAATTTTTACATGACAATGCCATTTAAAAAAAATTTAAGGCTCAGGTAAGGGGCTCTCTGCCCCTGTCAGTCTCTGAACCATTGCAGGTCCTACTTTTACCCTTCCCATGTTGTTGTTGATTCTTTCTGCAGAGGCAGCTGTCCGAGGGAGAACGCCGGAGAATGAATCAGTGCCGAGTTATAAAAGGATCCCCGTCATCACGGAGCTGAGTAAGTTATTCTCTGGAAACACATTTCACAGAGGCGATAGGCATGCTGCATTATTTATTTACCCCGGGCCTCTTTAAAATTCACAGACTGAAAACAACAAGCGCTGCATGTCCAAGGAGCATTAAAAGGGTCGACATCAATGTTAATTTGGTGGCTTTGAAGAAGTCGGAGGGGGTGGGGGGTGAATCTATAAGAGACTGTTACAAAATCCCCGGTGTGTTGTGAGTCTGAGAGAAACAAGATGACCTTGTGGCTCTGCAACTGACCTGCACCTCAAGAGAGATGTGTTCGATTCCTGGTTCTGCCACAGACTCACTCTGGGACTTGGGCACATCACTTAATTTATCTCTGCCTCAGTTCCCCATATGTAAAATTAGGGCTATTCATACTTCATTTTCCTTGTACAACTCTGTCACCAATAGGCCTCAGGCCACTCTCCAGAAAGCCAGTCCCTGTACCAATGAGCCTGCGGTCCAAGTACCACCTGCCTTTCGGGGTCGGGCTGCGGAGCTCACTCACAATGACTGTGAGGGATTCAGCCACGCATGTGATGGGGTCCCTGTGCATGTGGAGACACGGGAGAGCTCAGGGCATTGTAGTAGCCAGCTCAGCGGAGGCATCTGTGCATCACATCCCGCATTGTTCAGCCACTCTGGATTCCATTCATAACACAGTCAGCCCACCACCCTCTTTCCTGCTCCTTGTGGCTGTCTCACCTTCATCCCCCGGTGATGACGTACTAAATCCATTAATTACACACCTGTGCAGTGATTAACCGATTATGAGAAACCAAACAGGCAGTGGTAGAAATGTAGCCGTGTTAGTCTGGTGCAGGACTGTGTAGCAAAACAAAAACCAGGACATTGTCTCAACGACTTGATTACCTGCATCCTGCTTCAAACACCTTTCAAGACTTCACTTCAAAGAGAATCCTCTGAACTGTCATTCATGCTTAAATTCGACACTTTACACTCAAATTTGAATAAAGACGCTAATTACCTTACCCATTACAAAGATAGCTTCCCCAATTATCACCTCTAATATCATTAGCTCACGGACATTTACCTTCCCCTCTTGCCTCCCCTCCATACCCCTTCTGTTCTGAAATTCGATTTGTCCTTTTCATATGTTCATTTTTTTTTATTTGTATCCTTTGGTATATATGGTTGTGACAATTTTCTTCCACTATTTGATCTGAGGAAGTGGGTCTGGCCCACGAAAGCTCATCACCTAAACCATCTTGTTAGTCTTTAAAGTGCTACACAGTCCTGTTTTTTATTCCAACAGGCAGTGTGACCCCCACAGCGGTAGGGCTGGCTGCTCGGCTCCTGGGGGCAGATGTTGAGTTCCACTCAGAGTGCTGACACGAGGCACATTTGCATCGTGTGGCGCTGAGCGTTATGCCCGGACCCTGGTTCCTTCGTCTTTGGCAATGGGAACTGAGTGCTCCGGGTCAGGCTTGGTTGTTTGGTCTGAGGTTTGACAATAATGTTATTTTATTGATTGGTTGGTTCTCTTATTTCCATGACCCTTTGTGCTTCCCAGATCTGGCTGGCGCAGGAAGTACTGAAAAACTTCAAAGATGGCTGTAGGGGTGTAGCTTGTAACCTAGTAGTTATTGTAGTTGGAGGGACAATCATAGAATCAGAGAACTGGAAGAGACTGAGAGGCCATCATGTCCCATCCCCTGCCCTCGCGGCAGGACCAAGCACCACCTAGACCATCCAATCATAGAACCATAGAGCTGGAAGAGACCTTAGAAGGTCATCAAGTCCAGCCCCCTGCTCTAGGCAGGACCAATCCCAACTAAATCAACCCGGCCAGGGCCTTGTCAAGCCGAGACTTAAACACCTCTAGGGATGGAGACTCCACTACTTCCCTAGGTAGACAGCCGTGTATCTAATCTGCTCTTAGAACACTAGAACTGGAAGGGACCTCGAGAGGTCATCAAGCCCAATTTCCTACTCTCAAGCAGGACCAAGCACCATCTAGACCATCCCTGATAGATGTCTACCTAATCTGCTCTTCAATATCTCCAGTGATGGAGATTCCACAACCTCCCTGGCAATTTATTCCAGTGCTTAACCATCCTGATAGTTAGTAAGTTTTTCCTAATGTCCAACCTAAACCTCACTGGCTGCAATTTAAGCCCATTGCTTCTTGTCCTGTCATCAGAGGTTAAGAAGAATAATTTTCTCCCTTCTCTTTGTAACAACCTTTTAGGGGGTTGAAAACTGTTATCGTGTCTCCTTTCTGTCATCTCTTTTCTAAACTAAACAAATCCAATTATTTCAATTTTCCCTCCTAGCTCATGTTTTCTTGATCTTGAATCATTTTTGCTGCTCTTCTCTGGACCCTCTCCAATTTGTCCCCATCTTTCCTGAAATGTGGTGCCCAGAACTGAGTACTCATCCATGACTGGGATTCCTAGCCAATACTGCAGTAAAAATAATACGCAGATAATAACACGTGCCCCTACCAGCATCTCAGACATATGGGCCACTCGGACACCTGGATTTCCTGTAGTCATGTGTTGATATTTGCTCAGCACCTCAGAATGTATTGTGAGCTGCCTGTTGTGATACTGCCCCGCCGAGGAGAAAACGTACTGCTGAGCTGACCGTTTCAGACCGGCAATGGACCGTCAGGGTGCCAAGTCTCTGTTCAGTGGCCTAGAATAGAATAGGAACCTGCCGGCTCGGGCAAGGGAGGAAGGCAAATGCTCTCATGACCCAGAGACCCACACAAAAGCTGGGGGCTTTCTTGTGATGGACGACCTCTAACAAACTGTCCCGTGCCTAGACTCCCCACCCCGTTCCAGTGAAGCGTTTATGGCAGGGCCTTCAAGTTAGCACAAAGGCTTTGTTGGATCAAGTCTGTGGTCACTTCTGGTCACTGCTGGGTGCCACTTGACAATCTCAGCAATAGGATGCCCGTTACCAATGTTATCCTCTACCAAAGGCAACCTCTGGGTACCAGTCGCACACCACTCAAAACCTGCCCGAAAAAGCATCTTAATATCTTAGACCCTTAATATCTCGGGGTGAAATCTTGGGCCAATGAAAAACCAGGGGAGTTTCAATGTTACTTGCCATGGCGATTGGATTTCATCCTCTCCCTTTTAGTTCCTAAGTCACTTAAGTGCTTTGGGAACCTTTATGCTACATCACTAACGCTTGGGTTCTTCATTAAACACTTCTCCCCCCCTCCCTTCTTCTTAAGCAATAGGATCTGGCTGGTGCAGGAGACAGGACAATGAGCGACATGAATCCTAATTCTGTTCCCATTCTGCTTCGTAACTACTATGTTTCTGAGAACTTTCGCATTCCTTCTTTGATTGATGGATTGATGCTTCATTCCACAGAGGCTACATCAAATGTGCAGTTCATTGATCAACACACGAGCAGACACTCTCAAACCCCAGGACAGGAGCTGGATCTTACCACCACCTTTCCTAGTGAAACTATATTCTCCGATAGCTTTTTGGATTCTCTCTTGTCCACTGTAAGTACGTCACTGACCTCTAGGACTGGTTGCCTCCTAAACAACCACTCACTAGGGCAGGAACAGTTGATCAAGGCACATAGCAATTGCCACATGGGTTACATCTAACAAGGCTCCCATCCTGTCTCCGCAAACAGCCACCACCAGCTGTTTCAGAGCAAGGCACAAAAAACCCTGCTGTTGGCAGTGGTGGGATGAGTTGGAGGTTGGTTTATGCCCTGGGTTTATAGCTCTTCCAATGCTCTTGTCTATTTTTAATCCTTTAACTTTTATAGCTCTAGATAGTCTTGCAATCCAGAGAAATGCTTACTCCCTTTTGAATGCTGCTTTTGGCCTTGATACCTTGTGGAACTCATTGCCACAGGATAATGGGAATCCAGAGAACCATGAATTCCAAGACGTCTCATTCAGAGTGCACCGTTACTAGTACTCTCCATTTTGACACTATATAAATACAAATTGCCTGCAGTTAATTTATAGTGTTTTCATAAGAGTTTGTTTTTCTGAGAATCCTTACTTGCTGTAAAAGATAGTTGGGAGTCTGATTTTCTTTGACTACAGTTTAGATCAGCTGTAAGTATGAAGGGAAAAGGATTAATTCAAACCATTGCTACCTTTAATGCCACTTGGCCCCTTTGTTGGAAATCACAATAGTAGTGCCAAAAAGAGAATGGCCTAGTAAGACTCAAACTTCTTGCTCATCCCTGGAGGAGGTACCTCCAAGCCTGGCATGCAGAGCCTTCTTGAGCTGAAGTGTGGGGATGTTTGCATGACCACCACCATGCAATAATGGTGGTGGGGCAAACAGAACATTTGATTCTATTGGGATGGCCATCTTGCACCCGCATTGACATTAACTGGGCTGGATTGTGAAGTCAAGAGAAGTTGTCCTGTTGACTTTAGAGGGTTTTGCATCACAGCAGTAGTATATAATCTACAAAGGGATTTAGGTGTACAACTACAGGTTGAATCTCTTTAATCCAGAACTCTCTGGTCCGGAAACATCCATCGTCCGGTACGATTCTATTTAGCCAGATGTCCACTTTTCATGGGTGTAGCCAAGTTTCCCACAGTCCCATAAAGTTTGGTTACAGTCACTAGTCCTGTTATTTAGCTCTAATTTACTCCTAAAAGTCCTAACAGCCCAGAAAGCAGTGGAAGTGTTGATAATACTCCTAGACAATATTGACCTCCCATGGTCCGGCAAATTCTCTTGGTCGAAACTAGTCCAGTCCCGAGGGTGCCGGATTAGAGACGTTCAGCTTGTATTTCTACACATGTTGCCTCCATCTTGGTCCCTGTGTGGTCCAGATGACTGCAAGTCACACCCGATTAGGACCCTTACAAAAGTGGTGACGTTTTGAACTTGCAAAAATGATTAGCAGTGGCTCTGTGGGACGTGTGTATCTGTACGAGCATGTTTAGCATGGTACATAGGATGGGGTGAGCAGAGACACCATGGCAGGTCCCCACCCCTGTGATGGTTTCATGTCAGATCGCTGACAGAAGTGAGTGATACTCCTGGTGGTGACAGGGATGACGGAAAGGGTTGGGGCAGCGAAGCCAACAGTTTGTCAGCAAAACAGCCGCTCGATTCGTAATAAGCAACCTCCCAAACTGGCTGCCCTTTAACTGTGCCGCATCCCCTCCCCCACTCCCTTCTGTGCCGCAGTCATGTTACACGTGACTTGCCCGGGATGCAGGTGTAACAAGATCCTGCTTGGGCAGCAGTTTTAGAGACATTGAATAAATACACAGTGAAAATCTTGAAGGGATAATCAGTCCAACAAAAAAAAAAAAAACGTGTCAAGGCCAGTTATGCTTCCACAAGAAGGTTCCAGTGTTAGGGAAAGTATTATGTTCCTGCGAGTCACTGATATGTCAGTCAGCCTGACTGTAATTAAGGATTGCTGGTGTCAAGTGTAAAAGCAACTGGAGATCTAGCATGACCTGTCTTAAAGGATAAAATTTCATTCTGGCTTCAGATCCCAAGTTAGTCCAGG